ATTTCTTTAACTTGACAAATTTCGTTAATCCCACACGTTTTTATAGCTCGATAACTATCCGTAAATTTGGACAACTAAGTTTCTGTGTCTATAAATTTCGACAACTCAGTAAACATTGATCAGTTTGAATAATTCGATACGTTGCGATAACTTAATAAGCATGGATAAATTTCGATAATTATTAACTTCGATGATTCGATAAATTTCAGTAACCTTTATGGCTGATTTTATTTCGATTCCTATCTTTTAACCTAATTCTTATGTATTTCTCATTGTCTCCATTTTCGCCTTTATCTCAATTTTCGTCCTTATCTTCACTTTTGCCTTCTTTTTTATTGACTTCATCGTTATCATTTATTTCTTCATCTTCATATTTATCTTTATTTCAAAGCTTAATTTCAAATGTGTAGTGAAACAACAGGCGAAACATCTCAAATTGAACATGTTGCAGCAACATCTATACACAAATCGGAAATGTTTAAACGACGGTTTAGGCCGTAATTTTCAACCAATTGTGAAACCATAAAAACTCTGCTCATCTACGGAAAAATGCCTTTCTAACGGTGTTCTTGGTTTTGACTTCGGTTCGGTAGAATCGCCAAACGAACGGAGACAAAATTTATGTTAGCGTATTAATATATAGATAACCCGAAATGGAGGGAAAATTATTAACAAATTAAGCAATAAAACCAGGGCAAAAAACAACAAAAAAACTATCTAAAAAAAAATATTTCACATCACTTTTTTTTCTTTTCATGGATTTCGATTTACACTATTTTCTAAATGATGCATTTCGATAACCACTAATTTTTTCGTAGATTTTAGCTTTTTTTAGTTCACTTCACTTGCGATATGATTACTTCGAAATCTTTGACCCACATGTCATGATCTGCGCTGCAGATTTTAGCCACAATATATGTGCGTCATTACGGCCAATAATCAGTCCCATATCTTGCTTCGTTCAGTTTTTAACCGACTTCCAAAAAAGGAGGAGGTTATCAGTTCGTCGGAATATTTTTTATTTTTTTTTTTATGTATGCTACCGCATAACTTTGGACCACGTCAACCGATTTCGATAATTCTTTTTGCATCGGAAAGGTAGTGTCTCAGAGGTGGTCCCATACTAATCTGGAGATATATATATATATATTTTTTTTATATGGGAGTTGAAGTCGGTTTTTTTTTTGCTAAATATTACTAGTTATATACTTTAAAAGGGGGCACTTGTGGCGTGGTCATATGCAACGCCAGGGTTATTCGGGTTAATTTATCTGTTATCTTTATCTAATCGCTTCTGACAATCGTTCATCTTCATCAGGCAAAGGTAGACAGTTTTGACATTCGTTTATTAGGGTGTAACGATTTGCAGATACATTCCGGTGCAAGTAAGAGACTATCTAAGTGTCAAGGGTACTAATAGACATAGGCCGCTTTGCAGTATCACCGACGATGTGGGCATATCCCAAAAAAGTTAAACGAAGAGCGCAAAATTGAAAATAGTGCAATTTTTTTTTTTTTTTAACTTATTAATAAAGCGTAAATGTGTATATGTGAGAAATATAAAAGCATTTTCTATTTTTCCAAATTCTGGGCTAAAATATTATATGAGAAAATATGGGGACATTTTGCGTACTGGCATACTGTTGCCGCCACAAAGCAGGTGCACTGCTTCTTCACCTTCGTTAACACTACTTAGAGCCAAATTCACAGTGCGTAGTTAACACACATGCAAATAAATATCGCGTATAAACAAAAATTTTATAAAATGAAACTGCAGTAATTTTCATCTTATGTCGATCACTCTTGTCACAAATACATAGTTTCGTGCTTATATTTACGTATACATATATATATTTTTAGTAGCGCCACATCTTTATCAGAAAATTCCGAGAGTCCAAAAATTGGTACTGTTACACGTTGCAGGGCATCATATTAATTCGCCCTCCTCCCTCTTCCACGGATAACGGTGCATCTTTTATAGGTTTAAATATATTTTGCGTCTTCAATTTGTCATCAAAATGCATTAGATCGTATTACCTGCTATCCGCGGAAAAGCAAAAAACTTTATTTTCATCCAACTTCGCCAACTTCAAACATTTTTTTTACTTCTTCAAGAAACAAAAATTTGGCTGCTGGTGAATCTGGTAGCATGATTTTAGTTAAATGTCATAAAGTTGTTAAAAGTCAAGTGGTCGGCAAAAACAATGAATGTCAATAACAATAGCTTCTATTTTTGTATCAAGTTTTCTTATGTGTTTATTTTTTTCGAAAACCTAAACAATATTACTTCAAAAATTTAATTTATTGACAATTAAATGTAGATTATGCCATAAAAATAACGGGGATCTTTTAAGGGATCCTTCAAGTTTTGAATGAAATGAATTATTAAATAATGACTGTGGGACGGAGCGTTACTAACAAATTTAATTGCAATTAACAAAGGGACAACTAAGGCTGATTCACATACAACTTTCTTCGCTTTGGTTGATAGTTCTTTGCTTTGACATATAAGATCGATGTAGGCATATGCATGACTATGCTCACATAAAAAACATTTAAAGCAAAGCAAAGCAAAACGAAACAAAATCTTGGGCAACTCTCAACTTTTACCCGCTTTGGCAATCAGCTGTCTACATGTATCTTTTCTCGTGCGCTTGCATTTGCATTTAATGACAAAAATAAGGTAAATAGGAATTATTCTTGCTATTATTAATGCATATTATTATATTGTTATCTGTTTTACAGTTAAAAAATATAGAGGAAAAGAACACGCAAAAGCTGTCAAAGCGTTTATTGTAGCATACCTTCTGCGTTTCACGCTTTGTTGTCAAAGTTTGAACTGTCAAGCAAAGCGAGGAAAGTCTTATGTAAATGACCCTTTACAGATAATTTAATGAATGTTTGTAGGTTCGGTTGTTAGAGTTTGTTAAGCGCCACGGAGACAATCAAATAAATACGTCAAGCATTGCGTATGTGTGAGTGAGAATCGCTCGTGTCTTGCCCGCAAACGTTCAAATAGACGCTTCAATCACCACTTTGTATTGTGAATCGCAGCTTTATTTTGTTAGCATGTCGTCATCGGATGAGTATTTATTGTTAATTATTATATCATTAATTGCATAATTTTATATTATATCTTAGAAATTAATATTTATTACATTTCATAAAGCTAGTAAGCATTGGTAATGCTCAATCAAATGTAAAACAATTTCTGTTTCTTGTCCGCGAACTTGCTCACTACGACGACCAGAAGGCAAGTGAGCTTGTTTTTTGTCAAGCATAACGCGAGCCGATCAAATAAACAGTCATCAAATTCAAATATCAAAACTTTTTAATTTTCATCAAGCATAACCAGTTTTGCCGTTTTGGTTACTTTTAACCAATTTTCGTTATTTTTTTCTTGCCTGTGATGTTGTTACGATTTCCTATTTTGGTTATTTTTTAATATTTACTGTAGTTTTTAATTTTTGTATACATACAATAATTAAATCTTTGAAAAATAGTATAAACAAATACATTTATTTTGCTCAATATGGTTATCAAAATAAAGTTATTACTACTAAAATGGCGACTCAAGATTCGACTTATTCCGATAATAATCATGTGTTTACATATGCAAAAGAACATGTAAAAGTTCGAGGGTACAACTATCGGTTCGTCTCTATGCTCTTTGCACACACTTACATATGTACGTGAAATGACATTTGAATAACACGGGAGTCATTAAAAAGCCGCGAAAAATTATTAGAATTCCGCGTAAAATTTGTGTTTCAAGTTAATTTATACGGGCTCATTGCTATGGATAAGTGGGCAAAAAATACACAATTTTGGTTTCATTTTGCGCAATATGTCCAAAAAACTTGTAAATTAGGTTCGTTATAAAACGGCGTTTCCACGACAACCGAATCACGTAATTCGCTCTCTCAATTACGAACGGCGAATCAACCTGTTTACACGACACATTCGTGATTCACTTTACATCTCTGCTTCTTATTCTTTGCTTTTGTTTATTGTTCAATGTGTTGTTTATTGTGTGGAGAAAAAATGTTTAGTGGTTAATTAGCTAAATCAATAGTTTTAATGAATCAAGCTATTTTTTCAATGTTTGTGCTGGTGGGGATGTGTGAGGTCTATGTGTTTTGACAGCCGGTATCGATAAAAATTAGAGAAGACAACGATTTGTTCTTGATTCGCATGGTGATTGGATCTGAATCACCTACGAATGAAGTGATTCGCTCTCAAAATTTTGTATAGCGAATTACGTGATTCGGTTTGTAATTGGGGCGCCAATCACGAATGAGAGAGCGAATTACGAATGGGAGAGCGAATCACTTGCCGTGGCAACATCGTTTAAGACATAGGCCAGCTACACCTGTCGAGGTTGAGGAGAGTAGCATAACCGACAACGAGTCGGTGTAGTGTACGTGTAGCCGACAAAAGCGGACGTGTATTGATTACACTTAAAGCGTTGATAAAGATATTTGATCGTCTCCGTGGCGCTTTAAAGATTAATAACACTAAGAGATTGGCGCTTCACAATAAGTTAGTGTTTGGCCGAGCTTCCCCTTCGGGAATCACCACATGTATTTTATTTTATTTTTATATATAAAATAGATATAAACTATCACTAATCTTCTAAATTTTTGTTTTTTAACAAATTTACTTTCAACTTCAATTAGGGTTGCCATAATAAATGAAAACCTAATTTTATACATTAATATAATTTAAACTTTTTCCCCAAGCGCAATATGTCTTCCATTCGCTTTATTATTGTGTCCAAACCGCGATTTTTTGTTATAACAGAAATATCCAAATCTTTGAAATCCTCTGGAAGCGTGCTGTTATCTGCCAAAATAACTTTTGTCATGACTAACGGGTGGGGGAATTCAATTGGAGCTACCCTTAGTACTTCATTTAGAAAACTATAAGAAAATAATATTGAGAATATTTATTCAAAATATTTTAAATAGCACCCACCTCTCGTAGGTATAATTTGTGGTTGGAATCTGCACCTCAACCAGGTTCATTATGAATGCATTGTAATAGATTTTCAAAAATTCGTCGAAATTGTCTTCCAGTACAGCTGATTCCACACTTGAAAATAAGACAAATATAATATCATGTGCGATTGACTCGTATTGAGCTATTTGGAAATCTACAAATTTTAAATGTGAGGGTTGACCTTTATCATCTGCAAAAATATGTTATTTTAGCCAATTTAAGCTGCAAAGGTTAGAAATTACCAACCATAACGAAACATAATATTATTGATCCACATGTCGCAATGCACCAAGCTGGTATATAGTCCATCAACTGCTTCTGGCTGCTCTAGCCACCTATCGTATAGTTCAAATAGTTCGAGTATTTCATCAACTGCAGTATCGTCATTGTGTGTAGCTATCTGTAGATCTTCAACTATTTCCTAACGCAGATGAAGTGAAAATAATCTTCAAATTAGTAGAACTAATCAGGGCTATCACGGAATCCAGCGTAGAAAATCTACGAATTCTAATGCCTGCTACGAATACGAAAAAATTCCTATCACTGAATCCGAGTGAACTCGAAAAAAATATCGTTGCCAGCTTCGAATGCTGATTCGAAATCAGCTAGTGCAAAGGAAACAATAGACATTGTACGCCATTTTGCTCACGCTGCCCCAGCAGTCGCAATGGCCGAATGAGCAAAACACTAGGCCTGCCAATTGGGAGATGCGTGTTCGAGTCCGAGTCGTCGGGCAGCGGAGTTTTTTTTCTATTTTAATTTTTGTTTCTTGTTTTAATATTGTAGTTTAGATTTTATTGTTTTAAATAGATTTTTTTTTAAATTAATTTTTATGATATTCAAGTAATTTGGATTCAATAGCGTCTAGGTAATTAGGTTTATGTACATATATAATCAAAGTTTAGGTTTAGCGATTTAGCAATACGGGCAACTGTTTTTTAATTACTCTATTTTTCGTAAAATTTAAAAAAAAAATATGATTAGCTCTACCACCAAGACCCACCCCAAAAAATACGAGCTCCAAACCTTGTGCAAAATTAAAGAAAATTCTGAAAATTTTCATCAAAATAATACACTTTTTAATTACACTCTTTAGAAAAAAACTGAGTATGCAGTTTTTTCCCCATTCAATTTTTGTATAATTATGTGCAAGCCTGAGGGATCTAGGACCTACCAATGATTTTTGCTAATTTTTTTTTGTTGAAGGTGTCGTTTGTTTTCTCCATAAAAAAAAAGAAATCGAAAATTTTAACATAAATTCGCAGAATTTTCTTTAATTTTGCACAAGGTCTCTGGTTTTCGGGGTTTATGTTGTAAAAAATTAACCATATTTTTATAAAAAAATAAATTCTAAAAATAGAATACTTAAAAAACAGTTTCCCGTATTCAAAAAAAATCGCTGTACCTAATCTTGATTGACTGTACATATATATGTGTGTATAGCATTGGTATTTTACGTCTACGTTTACACAAATTTATGGAATTAAACAAACTATAACAAACTTGGAGTATAATAAATATTTATTGTTAACAATAATGCAGTTTTTTCCATTATTTTTAAGATTCAGTGATTTAAAATTTTGTTCCGACAGCATAAACTCGTCGTAGAGTATCTGTACGAATCTTCATTACGAACGGATTCTATGAAGGCTCCCAACGAATTTCGAATTTACGTTCGTAGCCATTCGGATTCTGTGATAGCACTTTCCTAGATTTCATGAAAATCTAAGCAACGATGCATTCTGTGATGGCCCTGAATATCGAGATTTCTTCGAAAAACACACCTTACGCATTGCTTCTTTCATATCATGGCCCATTGTGTTGTTCATATTGAAACGTTTGAAGTATGGACGTATGTACTTTGCGAAAATTTCTGGCTTCCTAAGGCGTAAGGCAATTGGTAATGCGTGATACTGTGCCAGAGATTCCAACACAAGTTTAGTATGCACAGAATCGAGCATTTTGTGACGATTACCAGCTTTATATCCAGATGCCTGTAGATTCTCCTGGACTAGTACCGCATCGCGATCTACTTTGTTTGTGTTGATATTCAGTGATATTCGACTGCCATAGTAACGAGGCACGCCATTGTAGAGTTTATCCTTAGGCAAACCAGCTTCGAGTTGCAGCCGATGTATTTCTGGTACAACACTTTGGTATACGTTGTTCTCTGTAATACAGGTGCGTTCTGGTTGGAATATTTGCCAAAACAATTCGTTGGTAACTGGCGGCAATTTTGCAATCAAGGCCAAATCCTCGATAAGCCCGTTCGGACGTTTAATTTTAGAGGAGATGGAGAGAATACAGCTGCCATAATTGTCTCCAGGCTTGGTAAGATAACGAGCACTGTACGATTGAAGCTCACCGCCCTCTAGATGTGGCTCTACAACACCCTTTAAATCAACTATTTCCGGTACAGACATAGGTAATCTGTAAATTTTTTAAGATAATATATTACTTAAGTTACAGATTTATGTGTGTGTATGTATGTACATTAGACTGCATAACCAAAAAAAAGTTGCGGTTTTTCCGCCGGAGTTACAAAATGTATTATATTTGAAGACGTCCACCAAAATATTTCGGAAAAAATATTAAGATTTAAGTGACCTGGACCGATTTGAAAATACCTCGAAAAATTTAGTTTTTTATAAATAAATAGTTTCTTAAAAGCCTTTTTAAAAAAAACCTCTCAAATGACAAAAGGGTTTAAGCATAAATCGGCAATCGGCATAAAAATATTTAAAAATCTTCTCAACGGAATCGAATTAATGAGATTTTTGATGCTTTTCTTAACTATACTATAAATAGTTGCAATATTTCGTTGCATCAGATCGAAAAAACGTCGATGTATTTATTGGTTTGCATCCCTAAGGCAAATATGGTGCCACACACATTGATGCCAAATTTAGTCAGAAAGAAGAAAGTTGCATAGTTGCTTTTTTGCAAATTGAGACGACATTCGATGTTTTCTAGGAAAATTCGATTTTATCCGAATTTAAGCACCACACAGTTCGATTTCAAATATTCGCCATTGGAGCTAAAGTTCGATGAAAAGTCGAATCTCGAAGCTTCTAATATTGAATTTACCCATCTCTAGTATGTTATCCATTTAACAGTTTTGGGACCAAAAACTAGGAAATGCCACTCTTCATATTCATTTTATATACGACATTATTCCATCGCTGGTTTTCATATCGCTAAAACTAATGCAAAACACATTGCTAGAAATGTCGCTGCCACTCTGACGCCTGATATGTATCTTTGTTTCTTGCCTCAATTCTTGTTATTTCCAGCATTCACACTTAATGTTTTGATAGAGGCTGTATGCAGGTAGATATCTTGAAATACATGTCTTATCTTGATATGATAGCTTGTTGCCGCAAATTACCATTCATTTTTAGCGTAAAGGTAAAGACGTGTTAGTATAACTGAAATCAAAAACGAGAAAACTTAATATCGGCATAGACATTAGGCTGGGTCGATTTTGTATGGGGGAAAATAAAAGGCATTTGACCGTATTGTAATAGTAATATTATGATGTCTTAGGTCTTAGCCAATTGTTATTGGCCCCGAAAGATTAATTTAAAACTCATCTTTAGCCCGCGTAATTGAATCAAAGTGTACGAATTTTGAAAATGAAACTTTGGCTGGTAATATCTATGAAATGCGTTAATTGTTATAAACAGGACGATATATGTATTAAATTAAGGGTTATTAAATTTAGTACCTCACGTTCATTTATCATTTNCCGAAAGATTAATTTAAAACTCATCTTTAGCCCGCGTAATTGAATCAAAGTGTACGAATTTTGAAAATGAAACTTTGGCTGGTAATATCTATGAAATGCGTTAATTGTTATAAACAGGACGATATATGTATTAAATTAAGGGTTATTAAATTTAGTACCTCACGTTCATTTATCATTTTTCAATAAGTCTTAAAATTTTTAAGATATTAAGATAAAACTTACAAATGCTATAATTTTCCCTTATGAATTCTCAATTCTTCATTACTTCAGCAACCAAGTGAAAAATACAAAAAAGTGAGACCAGATTTGTTTCAAACGTTTTAATGTTTTCGGATGTTTATATAATATTAAAAGGACCATGCTTTGCATTCAGCTTGAACGACAAAAGTCACTCCCTGGCACACTTTTCTGTAATCTCCCTTCGTTTGAAGGTAATGCTGCGGGTAAGGGCTTACCGCCAATGACATGCCCTTGTTAAAATAATGCCTTCTTGAAGCGAAAGGGTAAGCGATTCCCATCGCCTAGCTCGTTTCCATTTTCGTTTCTGTGGTAATCGTGTTTTTTGCTGGGTTGTTGTTGACTTCAGATACAATATATTTTCACTATTACCAAGGGATTTGAGTTAAAGTAGATTTTCGAAAATCTATGTGAAAGATGAATATTTTTGGTTAATATCTTAGGCTCAACCAAGTCCACCAAAGTTCAATGAGCTCGAAAAATAAAAATTAATAAATAAATTAATTAACACATTTTTTTACTAAAATTGCAATTATTTTCAAAAGTATTAGTCCTGCATAATTTGATATATGGGCCTTTCTTGTAGAGAATCGAAATAAACTAAGAAAAATTTTTTTTACCACTTCAACTTTGATGGACTTGGGAGAGCCTAAGATATTGGCCAAAAATTTTAATCTTGCACACAGATTTTTTTAGAGTATAATGAACCATTATTTTGCTATTACCAATCAAAAGTCTAAAAAAGCGGATTTTCGGCCCACGCTAATGTATGTACATATATATACCTGGTTCGTAAGTACGTGTACCTTTATTATTGCCAATATGCAACATAAATATCCATATATACTTTATGGCGTACTTTGACCAAGAATCCAGAAAAGTCTGCCAATGGGCTCGTACCCAGCCATATTCCAGGGGCAGGTCTTTGCGATCGAAGTCTGTTTCGCGAATGTCTTCGTAGAAGGATAAATGGGGCCAGAAGAAATATTGTGTCGGATAGTCAGGCAGTGTTAAAGGCCTTAGACTCTTTTAAAACTGCATCAAGGCTTGTGGACTCTTGAACCGCCTGGGAGCCCACAATAGCGTAACGCTAAGCCAACGAAAGGTCTGTCTCGCAAAGCGTGGAACCGAAATGCGCTTGCATGGACCAGGCCATTCCGCGGTACATCTAAAAATACACTGCAGAACTACTTAAGAGCTAAGAAGAATCTCAGATTGCTGCCCACTGGCGGAAGGAAAAGATAATAAGACATTCAAAGAGATTCATAACTCTTCCCAAGAGGAACTCCGAAAGACTCCTTGTACTTGAAACTCTTACTGGCTATTTGACAGCACACTGCAAGTTAAGGTACCATTTGAATCAAATGGGGCTGTAGGTTTTGTGAGCTGGAGGAGGAAACCCCATAGTATATTCTATGTACCTGCTCGGGAAAAATTAATCGTAGACTGATACACTTTGGAGAACAATTTTCTTCTCTATATAAAATTTTGAATATGGCACCGTCCAAAGTGCTTACAGTCTGTACAGTAAAATTAATTATTATACGCAGTTAATTTGCTTTTATTGTACTAGCTGTGTCTTAGTTTTACTAAATGTTTAGTTATCTACATTTTTAACAAACTTGACATTGAACAAAAATATTAAAAACTGAAAAAAAATTTTGGTAGGTTTTGGTGGATTTTGGTAGGAAAAAAAGTTGTCTGTGGCAACACTGGTTGGTATGGTACTGATAAAATAAATCTCCATAATAATAAGGGTATTCATCAAACCTTATAAATGCATTGTAAACCGTATAAACTTATAATTGTGTAAACCTTATAAATGAACTGTCAAAATTTGTATGGAAACTCGTTTACACATTTCTGATAAATTTATCCAGCGATTTCACTGAATAAACTTGATAAACTGAAGACAATGCAACTCTGTCGCAACTCTAGCTATGTTTTCTTAGGCAATAATCGGGATCCGCATACAAATTTTGCACGCAAATTCAACAACGATATGATCCTGATAGAGATCTGGTTCAATTATTATCCCGTCTGTTTGTTTTGTTTCACTGATAATTCGCAAAGTTTGGTAGCCGTGACAAATGAATTCATACACAAACAGACATTCTGCCATTGTTTCTTATAACTTGCTTCAAATAAATAGCCTTTATGTTATATGTACATTTATTTAAATAGATATCTCGTAAATATAATTTTTTCCAATTTAGTGAGGTAGTTTCTATAATTTCTTTATCCCCGTGCTAGTAGTATAAAGTTAGTGACACTGCGCTTTATAACCAAAGAAAACACGACTACTGTCGTGAATGTATAACACCCGATTTACATGATTCAAGTACTTGAAAGCAATTCTTGCTCATTCTCTTTTGTGTTTTCTATTTGCTTTTACACGTTTCAATTCTGTTGAATTCAAGTTTTTGGCTCTTTAAATGGGAAGCAACGAAAATGCCAAAAGCAAAGCAAGAAAGTTGAAACGACTTGACGGTACAGACGCATGTGTACTCGTCCCTTTTGTTCTCACCCCCTCTCTTCCGCATGCGAGCAGAATTGAATTCAATACTTGAACTGTGTAAAAGCAGTCTAAACGAAAAGAGAGTGTGGGTCGTTCATGTAACAGAGTGCATAAACTTATAAGATTATCTGCTTGATAAAGTTATCGGTTTAGATGAATACCACTAATAACAACTAGCGTAAGCGGCGAACTTCGTTTCGCCCAAAATTAATTTTTTGTTGAACATTTTGGTACAACACTTTCACCAACTATTCACTTAACGACTTTCGGTGGGACATTTATCAGCTGTGATTATGGTTTTGTGGTCGTCAGAAAGCATATATCTTCCACTGCCATTTAAAATAACCCAACCAAAGCGTTGTGTCCTTGACGAAGTTCTTGCAATTTTCCTATGATCTGTCGTTTAATCGCACAACACTGATCGATTTCGATATCAGAGTTGTCAACGAAATAAATTTTTTTCAGTTGTTAAGGGGCTTGTTCCTCCTGATGTCGTACTGCATTACCTTAGGCGCTTTGCTGAGGTTTTTGATTTGAACTGCTAATCGCCAATCTTTGTAAATTGGGATTGCGTGAGGCAATGTTTCATAATCTAATCGGCGATGGGTTTACGAACACTGAAAGTACAATGTCGAAAAATTCTAATTATCTTCGAAGCAATCGAACTATATTCGCAAAAGATATTCTCATTCAGCCTTGTCGTGAGTTTCGCCCGATATTTTTTCATCCGCCCGCAGTGAATATGTACACTGAAACGAAAAGTGAAAAGTGAACCGGTTCGAGGAAAATGAAACTCATGATAAGGCTGATTTGGTATTTTTAAACAAATTTCCATCATACATTTTTAAAATCCGGCACCTGTAAATAGAACGCGTAGTAGGGAAAAGGAACCGGTAATGATTTGCAACGCACTCTAACCCAACCTAACCAAAATAATTG